AGCCTCATGAATCGCTACATCAGTAAAAACATCTTAGATTTTTTCGAAAATCTCAATTATTGTGGTTTTTTAAAGATTTCCATGACTTTCAATTCACTTCAACAATGTCATGAGCTATGACTGCGCCAAGCAAACATGTTTTCTTGTTTTCAAGAATTGCCATAAAAAAATATGGTCAAAGAATTACCAAGGTATGAATTAATGTTATTAATTAATGAAAAGAGACTTTTTATTGTTTATAGGTATACAATCTCCTTTTAAAGTATAATTGTCTCCTAAAAAGTATTCTAGAAGTAAAACAGTAACATTTCAACCCAAAGAATGTTCTAATTTTTGATAGAAATAAAAATTAAGATAAAAAAATTATAAAAATTTTTAAGTCATAAGTTATATAAATTGAAAAATGTTTACAGGTTTTTAAAAAAAAAGTAAAACAGATTCAGCGTCGTTTCTTTCAGCATAGTTTCCTCAAAAGCAAACTATAAATTTTGAGGAAATTATCCATATTAAGTCAGAATATGCTGCATCTTTTAAATTATTTGGAGTAGTTTTAAACATTAAATGATTCAAATATTCCATCTGCACATCATTCAATTATATTTCCAAGAGAAAATTTCCACTATTGTTCTAAGAATATTACCAAGAAACGCTAAATTCTTTAAAAATCTAGTTTCAAAACTAAATTTCAATATTTAATTAAAAATTAAAAATCCATAAGTTGTTAGATTTTCATTAGAGCTACACTTTTTATTTTACTTAATAAAAATAATTTCCAGAACTTAAAAAATAGTTCGACTGACTATTAATCAAGTAATATTTCTCGATTTAACACTCTAATAAATATAAAATTTGTCAGAAAAAACACTAGAGAATTTCGAAAAATATTCTTTACAGGAAGAATTACTCATTCAAAGTTTTTATACTTGTATTTCTTACTGGAAAAATGTAAAAACTTTAAATATTCCAATTTTCTTTCACTACAGAATATAATTATTACTTTATTGCAGGGCTTATTGTTTCCGGAAATAAATGTGCCAATATTAAAACAGCTGATACATATGGATTGCAATTACAATAGTAAGAGGACCCGGAACATACAATGAACAAATCAATTGAAAACCTTGTTGTCACCTGTTCTCAGATTTTATCCGTTCCAAATATCGAGACAGCAAACATCAAATATTGTGTCATATCACTTATTTATTATTATATTATTGTCCGTTATTTTTCATTATTGTCTAATTGTCAGTTGTTTTAACTTTTACCTAACTTTTACTTGTTTCAAAATGTCAACAATGATAACTGTTTTTGATTTTTAAAAACCAATTACAATTGTAACATCAATGCGTTGAATTTTACATAAAGCTAATATTAAATATTTAATTTTCAAAACCAAATTTAACAATTAATCTAGAAATTATTTCCTACAATTCAGACAATTAAAAAAGGAACATTTCGAAAGAAATAGCACCAATTTTTCAAAATCAGGATTGTTGAATAGAATTTTTATTTTTTTTATTTTCTTGTTTATTGTTTTTTTATTGCTTTATTATTATTTATTAAATAATATTTTATTTATAATTAATTTTATTATTAAAATTGTTTACTGTATTTTATATTTTTTAAAATTTAATTTAATTTAAAATTTAAACAAATAAATTACTTTATTATTACAACTTTATTGCTTCAAAGTTTGTTTTTATTTCTTAAAAATTATTTTTGAATTTTAAGAAATGAGTTTAAATTCAAGCCTTATTCAAGTTTAAATTAAATTTAAATTAAAGCCTAAATTCAAGTTTAAATTCAGAATAATCAGAAATTATATCACGCAAAAAAATTCTTTGCAATTTGAAAAAATTTAAATATATCATAGATCTGCTTCTTTTACTAAATGTATACAGGAAAAATAATTAAAATCGATGTAAATCAATGTGAAAAATTTATTTTCAAATTCAGAAGGGGATTTTTCTAAAAATGTTGGAACCTACAATGCAACACAGTTTCTAATTTGATAAAATGTTCTTTAATGGTAAAGTGAAAATGTTTGATTATATTATCCAAATTACAAGAAAAAACGCAGAAAATTATTCAATTATTGTAATCAAATTATTTTATTTTAACAAATTAATTTAAAAGAAATTTTTCTTACAAGTATAAGCAATTCTAAGCAAGCGGTTATGGTTAGATTATACAACCTTATTCCAAAGAATTAAGATTTAGTTGCACAAAACAGAATTGAATAAACAAAATTTGTTTTTAAATTCAAAGTCGAGTGCTTTAACAATTTTTTACTAAAACGTCAAATAGAAAATGCAATTTTTTCATAAACTCAACGATGGTTATGTCATTGACGTTTCAGAACAAACAATTGACATCATATGTTGCAGTAAAATAATACAAATTTTGGATCATTTTGATCTATTTTTTAAATCAATTTGATCTGCAACGCTTTTTGATACCCCCAAAGTAACATATAATTATAATTAATTACTTGTACTTCATGTACTTCATTTGTTAACTAAATTTTGCAAAAATGAAACAGAATTTTAAAAAAAGTTGACCCCTTTTTAAATAAAATAAAAAGTAGTAAACTTTTTAAATTAAATCTAATAAATAGGTTAAATGTTAATGTTTTTTATATGATTTTCAATTATAAAGAGAATAAAAGATATGATCTGAGGAGAAGGGATAAAATTTCTATAAAGGTAGGTAAGCAGGATGGGAACGTGAATCTTCATAGAGAAGACTATGTGAAATGCGTTGTCGTATAACAAGCACAAAGATGATGTGAAAGATAATAGTATAATAGGTCTCCTGATAGAAGCGAATACAGAGACAATGAAACAGAGATATGTGATGGCACTAATAAACATATAAATTATTTTATTTATTTTGTTACAATAAATAATATTGTGATTATTTATTTACCATTAGTATTATTTTTTTTATATTATTATTTAAAACGAAAAAAAATTCATTTAATTCGAAATTTCTTTTTCTATAATTACTTTTACAATTTTATTGCGGAAAAGTGTGACAAAATAGGAAAAAAAGTAAAAAATTTCTAAACAGGCGGCTTTATTTATTCATGATATTTGAATTGTTTTGATTGCCTGGTACACTGTTTAACGATTTATTTTTAAGTGCATTTCTTGATGGATAGACGATATCGTCTTCCAAGCAAATGTCCAGATAAAAGAGAGGCTATTGTCATTTTTGCTCCGTTACCAAAGAATATATAAGGTTTTCTCGCATTTGTCGTTCTACTTTCCGGGTATAATACTTTCTACTCTGGCATTCAGCAAAAACTTCGTTTCCTTTACGCAACATTTTTTTTTCACAGTAAATTTCACAGGATACACATATTCACACACTCCAATATTTATTGTGTCTCATGAATGATTTGATTCGACTTTTTCTTATTTACATTCAAAAAAATAAAAAAAATAACTGAAGAGATAAATTTAAAATTTATTTTATAAAATATTTAGTTGTAATAAAATTAATTTTTTGTTACTAATGAATATTTATATAGTTATAATTTTATAAATATAAAAATTATTTTTAAAAATGAGAACTGCTGCGATATGATAGTAAATTTTATCGTGAAAAAAAGAAGCAATCTCTTATCGTTTTGAGAACAATGGTGTACATCCCTTTATATATAGTATACTTTTCTCGTAAACGATTCACTTCCGGTGTGTGTTACATATACGCGCGTGTGTGACGCACAATAATAATATTAAGCTCGCATTTCATTTTTGCTCTATTATATTTTTGTGGCATTCATGATACAACACTCTAGTCTTTTGTCATTTAAGAAAAAAAAAAAAAAATTGGAGAAAAGAGGGCAACATCATATCATATAGATTCAAATTTTATATGCGGGTACATTATGAAATAATTTCTATTCTAGTCTCTTTCACGAAATTAGTGATTCATTTTAAAATTAACTCTAGTAGAATTTTTATTTAAAAAGAATTTTCTTCTTCCTAATTTTTTTTTTTATTTTTTAAACTGTTTTTTATATTATGGGTCATTGTTATTTATAGGTCAATTTTTTGCCCAGAAGACAAATGGATATACTCTCAGGTATCATAATTGATGAACATTTCTGCGAAGGATCCTTACTTTAATACCGGATGTTGAAAAAAAATAGTGTAATTAATATCAGAGTAGAAAAATTACAAAAACAAGAACCATTCGATTTTTTGTAGAGTTTCAACATTATTATTTATATAAAAACATTTTCCTCTTTCTTCTCTATGCCTCTTGATAGTATAATTTAAAACGCTGTGGGCGCCGCAGAGATTGTCTTATCGGGACGCTGTTTCATATCAAAAATTTAATGAAAACTTTCTTTTTTTTAAAGTAATCACTAAAAAATTAGAATTTTAGAAATAAATAATAAATTCTTGAATTAAAAAAAATAACTTATTTTTCTATAAAAAATTTTCTTCTTTTCTAATATATTTCATACAGTATTTCTCATCTTTTCTTCCTTTATACTAATTCAACTGTTTTTTTTTTGTCACATCGAATATAATTCGAAATCTGAGGATAATATTTTCACTCCTTGTAACTATAGAATCATTTTCTATTTCTTGCAAGAAAAAGTTTTAAGTTACAGCTGAGAATGAGAGACGATAGTTTCTAGAGAACAGGATGTTGAATTTTGGTTCTCTATTCTTCATTTTTAGAAATATATTTTATTTTTAAAAAATATTCGCTGGAGAATTATTATTAAAAAAAAAGAATATACCGGATGTGGGTGGTGAGAACTGATGCATAGGCTTTCTGCGGTTTTGTAAAAAAATACTTAAAAGGTTTCATTCTCGGAAATAAAATGATTATGCATAAAAGTATTTTTGTACTTAGTATTTAAAAAAACAAAAAATTGGAAATTTAAAATCAAACTTTTTGAAAATAATCGTAATTTAAAAAATTAATTGAAACATTCAATTTTTATATTTATCAAAAAATTTTGTTTGTAATTTCAGATGAAAATGAACTCCTCAGTGTACGCCACATCCTGTCCAACACTACAGTCCAACTTGTCATTGCACAGTTCATATTACAGTGAATACAGCAATTCAACTCGAAGAAGATTATCATCAACAGGTGAAGCGGATACATCAGCCACATCAAGCTACGAGGGTAGCGATAGTTCGGAAAATAGCGATGAAAATCGTCTCGAGCCAGTTTCACAAATTGAACGTGAACAAGTTGAAACATTTTTCCGTGGACTAAAATCACAGGTATATTAAAATTCATAAAAAATAGTTTTTACAGCGTTAATGAGTTATTTACATTCATTTGCGGACATAACGGTTTCCACGTTTCGTTGATAACACTTCCGCATCCTATCTACATTGTAATTTAATACATGAAAAAAAAAATTCTAATTATCTTTTAAAAAACAAATTATTTTCATTTATTCTTTTTTAGGTATTCGTTTGTGAATCCCTGGCGAATTTATATTTGGGCAATGCAACACAACCAGAAGGATGGTCATTGCGTTTCACTGGAATACCTGTTGTTGTTTTAGACTTAGGAGAGACAAGATCACGCTCCAAGAGAAGAATACAAATACTTCTAGCTGAACGAGGGACATGTTTTACTTTATGGAAAGAAACTATTGACAATCTCACGTCTTACAAGGTGAATATTTTTTACTCTGTAGTATTAAATATTGTCTTTTCTGAACTGCAATAAACGTCTCATTTATTTCTTCCATAGGTGTCGGGACCAGCGTTTCACACAATGTGTCTTTCATCAGATCACACAAGACTAGCAGGATTTAGTTTTGATAATCCAAAAGCAGCGAGTGATCTTTGGCAGCATATAGAGCGTCTTGTGGCATGTCCGGAAAATATCAGCTTGTCAGTGCCGGGGAAAAAGAAAAAGAAGAAACCAGTACAAAAGAAAGTGGTACTGCCGGCAAAGAGCAATATTAGTCAACCATGTCAATTTCAGCATGTTACTAGTGTTGATTTGACTGATAGGTCACGATATTTTTCCCTCCAAACATTGGTGCCACCACCAAATGAACTCGATGTTTCAACTCACGAGCAAAGCTTTTAAATAACGATGCAAAAAACGTCCGCGAATTTGGCGCTTTAATAAGAGCCACTTTATATAGTTTTTTTTTTCTTTGAGGCTGAATTTCCAAGTCACTATTATTGTGTCAACTTTAATTATAGAGTTATGACAAGAAAGTCAATTGCAGAGAAATTCAAATGTTCCCGCCTTTTATTTTTAAATACAACAAATAATCACTTGTTATAAATATTATGAAAATTGTATCTTCAGAGCGGATAAAAATATAGTTTGCATGAAAAAATATAAATCTTCGACAATTATCGATAATGCATTATGTTTTAAAAATTGAAATCAAATATGAAAAGCTGTTTTTTTACTAAGAAGATAAAAAAAAGTGCTTATATAATAAAATGAGACTCATCCATATCATGAGTATAAAAAGTGACAACATAAGTTTAAAAAATACCTAATCAGCAATTTTCTGCAGAGTTGTGTTTTCAGCTTTGCTGCTTAATTTCAACTTTTATTATTTAGAATTAGAAAGTATTATATTTTAATTACAAAAAAACATTTTAAATGTACATTCTGCAAATTATTATTTTCGTTCACGCTTTGAGAACAAGATTTTATTTTAAAATTAAATATATAAAATTTGAATCCAATAATTGATTCAAAAATAATTTTTAACACACATAAAAATCACTATATATATAGTATATTGCGATATATGTAAGGGACGTATATAGTATATTTCATGAAATTATACTATATAAAAGTAATTTAAAAAAAAATTATAGAAATTTTCTTGAAGTATTTTACGGCCAATATTACTTACGGCCATAAGAAGACTGGATTCACTATCCGATATCATATATTCTAGAAATAAATATTATATATTAGGAGTACTATATTTAGACTTCTATCGCAAAGTGCATCATTCACATGATTCCTCATCATTATGTATACCGGACTGGTGTCATTTTTTAAGGAGCTTATTTTTTAGATACTTAACTTAAAAAAACAGCGAATAGTAGTTCTCATGGTTCCACTGTTATTATTTCAAGTTTCAAATTTGACACAAAAACAGCTTTAAACGAAACGACGCTAGTTCGGACACTGTATGTCATTCATAAATAATATTCAATAATATTTACTTTGTATTATTTTAAGAATCAATTACATTAGAAATTGTTATTTTAAGTTTAATTTTAATTTGAAAATGTATCAGTTGTGTGAGATTGAAAAATTGAAAAAAATTCATTATTTCGTTATTTTTTTATTTGGTGTACATATTAGAAACAAAATGTATTATAATTTTTCTCTTCCAACTAAATATTGTTTTCTATTTTTATTCAAAAATTATCTGTTTATAATTTTTTACACAATTGTATTTCCATTTTAATAAGTATTTTTTGTGTTTGTCTTAGCAAATCACAATTTTTGATAAAAAATACTAGAATTTCTTTATTAGTTTTTCTTTTCACAATCCTTCGAATGCATTATAAACTATATAAAAATAATAATAATTGTTTATCTACGACTGTGATATATTTGTAATGCATTATGTTCTACAATTTGTAGCCACAGTAAAATGATATAAATTACCTATCATATGCATTCATTATAAAAATATTGTTATATTCATGTAATAATTGTGCTAATAAACGGTATCGATTTCCGTCAAATATATATAATATTAATATCAATTATTATTATATCCAAACCATACAAAATTAGTCAGAAATATAATATAAAATCATATTTACAATTAACAACTCCAAAAACATATCACAGATATATTTGTTAAAAAAAAATTACTTAGCTGTAGAAAAAGAACAGAAAAATTTGATTTTACCGACTATATAGCTGTATTTAGTTCTTCTTTAAATCACCAGTCGTTTCAAACCACTTTTCATTTGTACGAAAAGCATGTAATAATATCATTTTGCTAAATAACAGTTTTTTCCTAACAAAAATATATTTTTTTAATTGTCAGAATTTTGCCAAATAAGTGAAAGGAATTCAAAACAATTTGTCTAAGTAAACATAGTCATTAATAATAAATAAAATATTTAATCAATAATTACCTATATAATAAAAAAAGTAAGCAAATCTCTCGAAAATTTAATTTTCCGGAAATTTACCAAAATTTATTTGAGTGCAGCTCAGCATCCGCAGGACCAATCAAAAAGTGCGCCATACATTTTTTGTTCGAGACTCCCGGGTTAAGACTTTGGCGGCATTCCCGACCAATTATCTCGCAAATTTAATTTTTTTAAATTTTTAAAAAAATTCATCTGTTTGTAGCTCAGCATCCGCTGGACCAATCAAAAAGTGCGCCATACATTTGTTGTTCGAAACTTTTTCCCTATTTTATTGGTGGTATCCCGGAGCGATTATCTCGCAAATTTAATTTTTCTAAATTTTTTCCAAATTTGTTTTCTGGTGTAGCTCAGCATCCGCTGGACCAATCTAAAAGAGCGCCATACATTTTTTGTTCGAAACTTTTTCCCTATTTTATTGGCGGTATTCCGGAACGATTATCTTGCAAATTTAATTTTTCTGAATTTTTTCCAAATTTGTTTTCTAGTGTAGCTCAGCATCCGCTGGACCAATCAAAAAGTGCGCCATACATTTTCTGTTTAGAACTTTTTGACTATTTTTTTGGTGGTATTTCCAAGCGATTATCTCGCAAATTTAATTTTTTGAAAATTTTTCCCCAATGTTTTTTAGTGTAGCTCAGCATCCGCTGGACCAATCAAAAAGTGCCCATACATTTTTTGTTCGAGACTTTTTGCTCAATTTTTTGGCATTATTTCCGAGTCATTATCTGGCAAATTTTATTTTTCGAAAATTTTTTCCCAGTTTTAGAGAGTGTAGCTCAGCATCCGCTGGACCAATCAAAAAGTGCCCCATACATTTTTTGATCGAGACTTTTTGCTCAATTTTTTGGCATTATTCTCGAGTCATTATCTGGCAAATTATTTTTTTCGAAAATTTTTCCCCAGTTTTAGTGAGTGTAGCTCAGCATCCGCTGGACCAATCAAAAAGTGCGCCATACATTTTTTGTTCGAAACTTTTTCCCTATTTTTTTGGTGGTATTCCGGAGCGATTATCTCGAAAATTTAATTTTTCTAAATTTTTTCCAAATTTGTTTTCTAGTGTAGCTCAGCATCCGCTGGACCAATCAAAAAGTGGGCCATACATTTTTTATTCGCTACTTTTTGCTAAAGACTTTGGCATTATTCCCGAGTCATTATCTGGCAAATTATTTTTTTCGAAAATTTTTCCCCAGTTTTAGTGAGTGTAGCTCAGCATCCGCTGGACCAATCCAAAAGTGCGCCATACATTTTTTGTTCGAAACTTTTTCCCTATTTTTTTGGTGGTATTCCGGAGCGATTATCTCGAAAATTTAATTTTTCTAAATTTTTTCCAAATTTGTTTTCTAGTGTAGCTCAGCATCCGCTGGACCAATCAAAAAGTGGGACATACATTTTTTATTCGCTACTTTTTGCTAAAGACTTTGGCATTATCCCCGAGTCATTATCTGGCAAATTTTTTTTTTCGAAAATTTTTTCCCAGTTTTAGAGAGTGTAGCTCAGCATCCGCTGGACCAATCAAAAAGTGCCCCATACATTTTTTGTTCGAGACTTTTTGCTCAATTTTTTGGCATTATTCCCAAGTCATTATCTGGCAAATTATTTTTTTCGAAAATTTTTCCCCAGTTTTAGTGAGTGTAGCTCAGCATCCGTTGGACCAATCAAAAAGTGGGCCATATATTTTTTATTCGCTACTTTTTGCTAAAGACTTTGGCATTATTCCCGAGTCATTATCTGGCAAATTTTTTTTTTCGAAAATTTTTTCCCAGTTTTAGAGAGTGTAGCTCAGCATCCGCTGGACCAATCAAAAAGTCCCCCATACATTTTTTGTTCGAGACTTTTTGCTCAATTTTTCGGCATTATTTCCGAGTCATTATCTGGCAAATTATTTTTTTCGAAAATTTTTCCCCAGTTTTTGTGAGTGTAGCTCAGCATCCGTTGGACCAATCAAAAAGTGGGCCATATATTTTTTATTCGCTACTTTTTGCTAAAGACTTTGGCATTATTCCCGAGTCATTATCTGGCAAATTTTTTTTTTCGAAAATTTTTTCCCAGTTTTAGAGAGTGTAGCTCAGCATCCGCTGGACCAATCAAAAAGTCCCCCATACATTTTTTGTTCGAGACTTTTTGCTCAATTTTTCGGCATTATTTCCGAGTCATTATCTGGCAAATTATTTTTTTCGAAAATTTTTCCCCAGTTTTAGTGAGTGTAGCTCAGCATCCGCTGGACCAATCAAAAAGTGCCCCATACAATTTTTGTTCGAGACTTTTTGCTCAATTTTTTGGCATTATTCCCGAGTCATTATCTGGCAAATTATTTTTTTCGAAAATTTTTCCCCAGTTTTAGTGAGTGTAGCTCAGCATCCGCTGGACCAATCAAAAAGTGGGCCATACATTTTTTGTTCGAGACTCCCGGGTTAAGACTTTGGCGGTATTCCCGATCAATTATCTCGCAAATTTAATTTTTCTAAATTTTTTCCAAATTTATTTTCTAGTGTAGCTCAGCATCCGCTGGACCAATCAAAAAGTGGGACATACATTTTTTATTCGCTACTTTTTGCTAAAGACTTTGGCATTATTCCCGAGTCATTATCTGGCAAATTTTTTTTTTCGAAAATTTTTTCCCAGTTTTAGAGAGTGTAGCTCAGCATCCGCTGGACCAATCAAAAAGTGCCCCATACATTTTTTGTTCGAGACTTTTTGCTCAATTTTTTGGCATTATTCCCGAGTCATTATCTGGCAAATTATTTTTTTCGAAAATTTTTCCCCAGTTTTAGTGAGTGTAGCTCAGCATCCGCTGGACCAATCAAAAAGTGCGCCATACATTTTTTGTTCGAGACTTTTTGCTCAATTTTTTGGCATTATTCCCGAGTCATTATCTGGCAAATTATTTTTTTCGAAAATTTTTCCCCAGTTTTAGTGAGTGTAGCTCAGCATCCGCTGGACCAATCAAAAAGTGCGCCATACATTTTTTGTTCGAGACTTTTTGCTCAATTTTTTGGCATTATTCCCGAGTCATTATCTGGCAAATTATTTTTTTCGAAAATTTTTCCCCAGTTTTAGTGAGTGTAGCTCAGCATCCGCTGGACCAATCAAAAAGTGCCCCATACATTTTTTGTTCGATACTTTTTGCTCAATTTTTTGGCATTATTCCCGAGTCATTATCTGGCAAATTATTTTTTTCGAAAATTTTTCCCCAGTTTTAGTGAGTGTAGCTCAGCATCCGCTGGACCAATCAAAAAGTGCGCCATACATTTTTTGTTCGAAACTTTTTCCCTATTTTTTTGGTGGTATTCCGGAGCGATTATCTCGAAAATTTAATTTTTCTAAATTTTTTCCAAATTTGTTTTCTAGTGTAGCTCAGCATCCCCTGGACCAATCAAAAAGTGGGCCATACATTTTTTATTCGCTACCTTTTGCTAAAGACTTTGGCATTATTCCCGAGTCATTATCTGGCAAATTTTTTTTTTCGAAAATTTTTTCCCAGTTTTAGAGAGTGTACCTCAGCATCCGCTGGACCAATCAAAAAGTGGGCCATACATTTTTTATTCGCTACTTTTTGCTAAAGACTTTGGCATTATTCCCGAGTCATTATCTGGCAAATTATTTTTTTCGAAAATTTTTCCCCAGTTTTAGTGAGTGTAGCTCAGCATCCGCTGGACCAATCAAAAAGTGCCCCATACATTTTTTGTTCGAGACTTTTTGCTCAATTTTTTGGCATTATTCCCGAGTCATTATCTGGCAAATTATTTTTTTCGAAAATTTTTCCCCAGTTTTAGTGAGTGTAGCTCAGCATCCGCTGGACCAATCAAAAAGTGCGCCATACATTTTTTGTTCGAAACTTTTTCCCTATTTTTATGGTGGTATTCCGGAGCGATTATCTCGAAAATTTAATTTTTCTAAATTTTTTCCAAATTTGTTATCTAGTGTAGCTCAGCATCCGCTGGACCAATCAAAAAGTGGGCCATACATTTTTTATTCGCTACTTTTTGCTAAAGACTTTGGCATTATTCCCGAGTCATTATCTGGCAAATTATTTTTTTCGAAAATTTTTCCCCAGTTTTAGTGAGTGTAGCTCAGCATCCGCTGGACCAATCAAAAAGTGCGCCATACATTTTTTGTTCGAAACTTTTTCCCTATTTTTTTGGTGGTATTCCGGAGCGATTATCTCGAAAATTTAATTTTTCTAAATTTTTTCCAAATTTGTTTTCTAGTGTAGCTCAGCATCCGCTGGACCAATCATAAAGTGGGCCATACATTTTTTATTTGCTACCTTTTGCTAAAGACTTTGGCATTATTCCCGAGTCATTATCTGGCAAATTTTTTTTTTCGAAAATTTTTTCCCAGTTTTAGAGAGTGTACCTCAGCATCCACTGGACCAATCAAAAAGTGCCCCATACATTTTTTGTTCGAGACTTTTTGCTCAATTTTTTGGCATTATTCCCGAGTCATTATCTGGCAAATTATTTTTTTCGAAAATTTTTCCCCAGTTTTAGTGAGTGTAGCTCAGCATCCGCTGGACCAATCAAAAAGTGGGCCATACATTTTTTGTTCGAGACTCCCGGGTTAAGACTTTGGCGGCATTCCCGACCAATTATC